TTTTTTGAGGGGGTTGCAGGCATAACGAATGTGAACTTTTCGAGGGCAATAGTGAGAAATTGGTGTTCCGTTTAGAATTCTTTATTTCACTTTCATGAACTGGTTTTTATTCTCTTAAATTCTGATCAATTTATTATCGCTGATGGTTTTAATTCATATAATGAAAACTTGAGAACAAGACATTAAGATGAATATTTTCTGTAATTATAAAAATTTTTTAGACAGAAAATTACTGAGGATGAAACATCGTGAGCAGCTAGCTGCTGTACAAAACATAGTGAACATTGGGGATAAAAAGAAACAAAAAAAGCTGTTGGATGAGCTTCTAGCCAGCATGGAAAAGGTTTATCGACGGTTGTAATTTCTCCTCGCTTAGCTGTTGGATATATGATTTTGCTTTTGCGGTTTCGGGAAGTCACCGTCGAAGATTTAGGTTGTTCGGACAGCGAAAGGAGTTATTGAACGCTCTGGTTATCAACCAAAAGACCCATTTCCAGAAAAGGACGAAAAGCTGAGGGACGCAGTTTCAAACGTTGTAGAAAATACGGCATTTTTTTGCGAATTTGTTTTGCGCTTCCCGACAGCGATCGAGAAATGGTACGTTTGGCCGGTTTGTTCGAGAAGCTGGAATGAAAAGGCGTAGTTTGAGCAGTTTCTTCTCAAATTTAAGCGTAGATGAAATTAGCTACGGTCTCGCAAGAAATTTTACAGGTTGAAAAAGAGCCAGGAATGGAACGAATTAGTTAGATGGGGATATGAATTTACCTCGGCAATGAACGTGTACGATACTGCAGAAAAGAAACTTCTAAATTTGGCAGCACAGCAACTCAGTCTCATTCCACGGTAAACTAATGCAGAATTTTTGTAAGCGAGTGATATTATGATAACAGTTATGTCATTTCATTGAAAAAAAAAAGGTTTTGGTGACATATGTCATTTTCTAGAGATGAAAATTTTCATAATCCATACGACAAAAAAGTGCAGAAGGAAGAAATTGAACGAGAAGCTGTTCGCAAAATGGAGGAAGCCAGGGAAAAAAGAAAGTTAGAGAAACAGAAAGAGAAGAAACAGAGGAAGGAAAGAAAGCCGTCTTTATCAAAGAATGAACTGTAGATTCTGTGATCTTGTATTACAAATTCCTTTTTTACGGGAAAAAACTATTTTTTTTGTTTTTATTTATTATTTTTTACTTGTAGTCTTTGACTAATAAATCTTTAAGAAGTCGTACCTGATAATATTTTAACCTTTTGAACTATAATTCATATGATTTTTTTACGTAACGTGTTGAACGATATGGTCTCAATTTCGATGGTTATGTGAATTTTTGTTGATGACGTTTATAGGTTGTAATTTATTTGCATATCGTTTTACTAGTTTTCCTTGTTTTCAAAGGTTGTTGTTGACTTACAGTTTGTTGTACCTTATGTTATTTCAATCCAGATTCTCAGTGTTGTTGATAAAAGTCTCAGATTTTGGAAACATTGGGGTTAGCGAATTACTGCTCACTAGTTGTTTTACGACATCATTGCCTCTGAAGTGCTTAATGTAGTCACTGAGACGTTCCTTGACCAGAGCCTAAGGTTAAGCAACAAAGTATGGTATATCCGCACTAGTGAAGAGAAACATTTAAACGTTTTTATGAATTTTTTATTTACTTTTAGGGGATTTTTAATTGTTTCTTGCGTGTTTTGGAACGCGCAGATATGGCCGAATTTCCTGATTTTGGCAGGCACTGCACAGAGGAATCCTGTAAAAAATTAGGTGATTTATTTGTAACCGGTCTAGAGTTCATTATGTTCTGTTTACCTGTAATTAGTTAGATAATTATGTTGTTGCAGATTTTCTGCCGATCTTCTGTGGATTTTGTCGGCATCATTACTGGTAATTTATTATTTTATGTGTAATGACGGGGAAAGAAATAAGTGCTTCAAGTAAAACTTCATACTTGTGTCTTTTTTCACGTAGAGGTTTTTTTTTTTTCGAAATATGTGTTGTTGTTGCTGGGGTAAACGTGGTAGCAGTTCCAGTTTTCAAAACTTTCAAAAAAACAGGCGTTAAAAGAGTTGTTTGTGTAGCAAACTACGAAGAATGATGAAAAGTTGGTTTTTTTTTTTTGAAGCAGAATTTTTTTGTTTCTTGAAACAGGCGCTTTAGGGATACAGTATTTTCACTGAAATAGAAACTGCTGTCTTCATTCCAATTACAACCTTTTTCAGGGACTGGAAAATGAAATTTTAAAATTAGTCTCAAATCTTAACCAATTTAAAGGGATTTCGAAAGAGAGGTGTCTTTACGTTGTGCCATCACTGACGAAAATAGTTTGGTTTCTTCTCTTAAAGCTTCCGCGCTGAGGCGGCCTCTTTGTTTGTTTTCGAGTTGTTTGAGAGCAGCGTAGGGTGAGCAGTAATGCTGCTGAAGAAAATTTGGAATTCGAATTTGCAGCACGGTGCAAAAAAAATTACGACTTACCTACTGATAGACTGCAAACCATAAATAAATCAACTGTTTTCTCATAGATTTAACACATCTCTTACACATACCAAACTGTGCTAGAATGAGATGTTAGAAGTTAAGATCACAGCAATCTGTTTGAGTAGCCATTTGTTTTATGCTATTATATGGTGATATAATGCTAGCATGACTTTGCAAAACTAACATCACAATTAGCTTAACAAAAAAAGTCACGAAAAGCCTGTTTTTTCACACTTGTCCAAGTACTGTCTTGCACAATTCTTTGTCAAAGAATTTTGGATTTAAGAGCTCGTGTAGAAATCACATTTTTGTCCAGTATTCCTTCAGCTTAAAATTGTCTGTAAGTAATTTCATTGCTTCTCTCTGTATTCGAGTGATTCTGCCGTTGGGGTTTAATTAGAAAGTTAGAGACATTTGAACGTTGCATATAACGTCTCCCAAGATTGAGTTTAAGTGAATTGTTACTGACATAATCTTACCCTTATAAAGAACTTAGAGAAATGTGGACCAGATTTGGAGGGTCTTCGGATTGAGATTTTAAGGAGACGTCGTAGGAAGTTGGTTGTTTTTATGTTTCATAAGTGTTAGGCAGCTATTAACAAACTTCTTTTGGATCTTTGGGACGAGAAAATAAATTCTTTCGCTGCTTATAATTTTGACATAAGTTGAAGGTTCACTTATTTCTTTGTCCAGTTCAAGTTCTAGGCCTATATTAGTAATGGTGAAAGGTTGCTACATTCTTCTGTTTTTAGTTCTGATCATGCGCAGCGCCACTCTTGTGTTTCAAAAAGTGAAGTGGGGGAAGTGACAGCAGGGACTGGAAGTAGATTGGCGGAGTATAGTTGCAGCTTTGACGGTTGTTTAAAAGCGGATTGTTGTCCGATAATATGCCAGAATTGCCAAAAAAATTTTTGTTTGGAGTAGGTGCTTTTTGAAAAAAGTAATGTTTGCAAATTAAGCTAAAGAACAAAGACATTCAGTTTTCGGATTTCTAGGCATCGTTATCCTGAAGTACACCACTGTAGCAACGTTCAAAAGAACACAGTTTTGGAACAGTCACGGCTTGCGGTTGGAAAACTAAGAGAAAAAATTGACTTGACAGAGCTAGATTTCATGAAATCTAAAAGCAAGGAAAAGATTGCTTCTCAGAAACCAAAAAAAGTTAGTTATTCAACATTTTTTTCATATGTAAGAGTTCTAAATTTTTTTACTATAAAGAAGTTCTGAGTTATTAAATTTTGTACAGAATTTATCGAAAGAGCAACAAGAAAGGGCTGATCGGCTTTTGATTATGCGATACAAGTTGAAGATGAAGGACTCTCAAGTCAGTATGCTTTCTAAAATTACAGAAAGAGTTTTTTAAAGAACGGTATTAAAGTTAGTTTTAAATTTCTGTAAAATGGGAAATTCAGGTAAGCGATGCGGATCAGCTGTTTTTAATTGTTACTGCGGGTGACGAACGCAAACCAGTTCTAGTTTCAAAGGTATAATATACTTTTTTCTTTTTTTTCTAATTGGGTTACTTTGGCGGCTTTTGTCTGCGCTGTCTAAATTCGTCAATCTTTAGCATTGGAGCATTGGCAAATGCATTGACGAAATCGTGAAACAAACGAGTTTTTATGGAGCTTCATCAGTGGTCAGTTCTCTCATATGAATTTGTGCTGAATCTCAAATTTTGAAAAAGAAACTTGAGCGGGGAAACAGCTGGTGAAGTCCAGCTGTTTCTTCACCTTTTTAAGTTGAAGGCAGTAAAAATTACAGGAAAACAGCTTTTAGATTGCATATTTTCTAAGTTTTAATTTTTTCCAGGGCTTTTCAATGTGCATCAACGACAGAAGGTTGGATAAGATGGACGAAGCTGTCAGCAAGTACCTTAGCAACTCAAATGTTGTATATTTGAAAAAATAATGGTGCCGGTGGCGCTGTTTGTCAATTTTACCTTCCTGTTTACTTATGGATGCTCTCAGAGGGATTATGGGCGTAGGAAGTGCTGGGTAGAATTTGGTTTCTAGAGGTGTAAAAATGTAAGAAACATTTAGTACTTCCTTCAAACTTTGAGCTGAGAAGCAAATCAGTCAAGCTAGGTTAAAGATCTCATGTGGTTGTGAGTATCCAAAGAAGTAAGGAAGTTTTCCAGAGCATTTAATAAAGAAGAAATTGTTTTTTTCTCAAAATGTCCAAGTGACAGATCTTATTCTGATTAACTGTACTTTTCCTTTTGTGCAAGATCATTGTACTGATACATTTTAATCCGCAAAAAAAACTTCGTGATGAGAGCTGAGTAGCACTACTTACAAGGTACTCTGTAATTTTTTAGGCTTGCTCCCATTTGGCTTTTTAAGTTCTTCAGTTTAAAATTGTTTCAATATAGAGTTATTAACATTAAAACAGTTCATTGACAAGATATTACTTGGATGACATCAGTACAAAGGTCTTTAACTAATATTACCCCTGTCAATCATTATAAGGAGTTACCAGAGTAAATGGTCTCGTTTATTACTTGTAAAAAGTAGGGTAGTTAAATAACAACTTTTTTCTCTGTTCTCTCAGCTGTGTTCTTAAATAATACTTTGGACCCGTGAGATCATTATTATCACGCAATAAACAAATAAAGCATAAACGAATGATGTGATAAAGCAAAAGAGCGGTAGAACATGTTTTGATAGGACCTGCAGCTTTCAGTCGTTTTTTAGCATTACACTGTTTGTCCAATATAGTTGCTTAAACACAAATAACGGTGGGAAAATACAGGTTTTACATCCGCTGTATTCGTTCTAGTCCAAATCTAGTGACCAATGAGACGCCTCAGGACGAGTTTTACGGAGGAACGTTTGCTTTTGCAGCACTCTTATCCATACTGTCAGAGAAGTTCACAGGCAGTTTTATAGTTGCGTTTTGCCTCGTAGTTCTTCCTCATGAGTCCTTGCATTTCAAAGTTTGTTTCAGCTTTCTACTGAACATTCTTTCTTCATTGGTTTTGTCGTAGTTTTTTTCATTCTGTTCCTGTAGCCCGCTGTCTTTTACTCTATTTTTCGTATTTTTTTAAAATTATTCGACCCAATATATTTACCTTAGTAAGTAATAGTTGTTACAGACTCCAAACTCTTCCGCCACGCTAAAAATGCATCGTTTTTCACAGCGTACTTGACCTTATGCGTCAATTTGTATCATACACCACGCTACAAGACATTTATCTAACCTGTCAGTTAAAGTCAACATTTTCTTACAGTTTGCTGCTGGTCTTTTAAAACGTTTCTTTTAGTGTAAAGGTGTAACGTGACGAGGCAAAGCTAAGTAACAGTTAAAAAATTTTTTAGGGTTGGTCGACAAAAAAATTTCACAGAAAGAGGAGTAAACAGAATACTCAGCAATTGGGGTAAGCATTGCAAGAAGGTGGCTCGGTCGTTAAGGATGGATATGATGCAAATTCTGCTGAATAACTGCACAGGGAAAAGTTTGTCTGTTATCTGCAAAGTGAGGGCACAAAAAAGGACAAGATTGTATGCATTTGATCAGTAGCAATGCGGTGTAGCGCAGTGCCTAAAAACAAGAAAAAGGTTGTTAAGGGAAGGGACCACAGAGCAAGGAAAATAGAATAAGAGGAAGAAAGAAAAGACAAGAAGTAAGGTTTTCTCAACTGG